TTTAGGATAACACCGAAACTGATGCTTTCTTGTAACTGAAAAACTGAACATCCGAGGGAGGATTCTCACACAGCACGAGATTTTCTTATTTATGTCTCTTTGTACAAGCAAACTAATTAAACAAGAAATATGTTGGGAACGGAAAAGCAGCATAGAGGCTTGTACGGTGCTTAGCATAAGCTCTACGCAATTTGGACAACGCATCACCTTGCTTAGTCGTGCCAAGAAGGTCGCAGTTCGAGGACATGGCTTCCATTTCAACTGCTTGCAGTGACAAAGATGCATTTCCACCAAGTGCAGTGTTGTCCTGTCGTTCTGAACATGGTAAATCCCGTCCCTTGAGTACAAAAGCGTGAGAAACAGGCTCCCTTTTTTATGTCGTCTTATTTGAAGTTTTTTCGCAAAAATATACGGTTTCGAATATGAAAGTTGCTCAGGCAGGTTTATGCAGTTCTAACGTGCGTTTTCCTTACAGTAGTTTTGTCGAACAAGAAACTTCCAAAGGCGCATTGACGAATACCCTCATTTCCCATGATCAATTTGGTACAATCGCACTCTATCCTTTCTTTTCAAAGCCTATGGAAGCTTATGGATGATCCATTTCGTTGCCATTGCTATGCAGAATTCATCAAATATCATATGGTTATTTTAATTCAGGCTCGCAAGTGTTTCATCGTCCGGTTGGTGAATAGTCAGCTCAACATAAAACAATTTTCTCCGTGTTTTTTATAGGTTTGTAAGCCAAAACCCTTCCGTCGTAGTCTGTGATGAAATGTCTTCCTTCTGACAATAGATACACTTGTATTCCTTCCAGATACACTTGGAATTCGTCGCCACCGTTACCTCTGCATCGTTAGCAAACCGGTACTGAACGTTCCCATATCTAAGGACTGCATGGCAAGATTGGGCTATCAGAGCAACGTAGTGACAAGCTAAATACAATATATGAATAACTCCATTTTTTGCATAAGGTCTACATTATCATTAGTCCAACCTGTATTATTCCTGTTGTCTTGCTGATTGCTACTGCTAAGTAATTACACGTAATCACTACAGCACAAATCCTGATGGTCATGAATGTAGCGATGACAGTATTTCAAGAAAACTGGACTCTACCCAACCGAAGTGGTGTGTGACATTCAGAACTGGATTAAATAGGTTTTGCGACGTTGAAATAGCAGAGGAGGTAATTCTGACAAGCGCCATATTTCCTTTTCCTGTTTGCCTGTTACTGGTCGATTTTGACAAGGGTTTTGACTGACTCAACAATCAAACGGAATTGAAAACTGAGAAGAGCTACGGAATCTATGAAAAGTGTACATAGCTCATCGCATAATTTGCAAATAAATAAAGGCTTGTGGGAAGCTTTGCAAAAGCAAAATAAAAGTCAAAATCAAAAGGCCTCGGACAAGGTGATCCAACATCATTAAGCTATTGATGAAGGATCAATAGAACTGGAAGTCTTTTCAAAGACTATGTTGGGAAAATCAGGGACTGAAGGTCAATGATTGTCACTTGCGGATTTCCGACGTCATAAGTGTGCTCTGAAGGATTTCAGAAGAGCTTTGGTGATGAACCCATGACCTGAACGATGCCAGCATCAAAGCAATACTCAAAATGAACTTGGAAAAGATTCAGGTAGTGCTTAGCCAATACGTAACCCTATGACCTGTCAGTGGACTCAAGCGTTGGTACAGATGACTCAGGTTTCATAACCAAAAGAATTTTGTCGGTTCCTTTAGTCGTAGTTGTTACTGGGAAGCTAAACTGAATCGCTCTGATTGGACGGTTCGTTCGAGTTCGCTATCAGTCGGTCAATCCGATGTAATGCGCTGGTGGAGCCATATGTGTATTAACGGTGTGTCAGATTCTGCAGGACAGACGGTCGCGACGGACGGAAATTAGGGGTGGTCGCCTTGTCTTGAGGGGCAAAACTACGTCTATCTGAGGTAGGTTATCGCTGTGATGAAGAATTAACTCTGGGACATCCACAAAAGATAGAAAATGTCCGTAACTGGGAAACTGTCGTAGCGCATGAAGTTACAAGTACTCACTCATTGCGCGTTTTGGCTGCTAATTTATGGCCCAACCTAATGAATGTTACTCATTAACTTCAGACGACGGGGCGACCACGGATGCAGGTATGTTGAAAATAACAGGAAAATACAGGAAGACGAATGAATTGGTAAGAGAACAAACAAGAGTTTGAAATGCCATTGAACGAATGATGGGGCAAAAGCGGCAATGGGCAAAACGCGTTGCATGAAAAACCAACAATTGTTAGACCAGGCAAACATTAACTGAGTTTCAGTAGAGGCTAAACGGCCAGTAGGTAGACCACCAGATCGACGACAGGATGAGCTGAAGTAGCCTGTTGGAAGAAGATCGATGAGAATCACAGACAATGGAAGTTTATGGAAAGTCTTGGAGACGCCTTGAGCCAGGAGTGGATTCAAAATGACCCAAGATTATGATTATATACATTAAGGATAAAGCATACATTATTGTGTCCAACTGAATCCGAATGTCGTCCGTCTGTCAGAGAGTGAACGCACTATGCGCTTCTCACATTGCTTTCGTTTTGGGGTATTTAATATTGGAGGCGAATCACTTTTTCTTCGATAGTACTTATTTCAAACAAACCATAGGAGCACGCATGGATAACCTACTTTCTCCATCCTTGCCGAAAATTTCATGAAGCCCTTTGAAAATGTGGCTCGAGACGCTAACCTAGACGACACTAATCCTTTTCCAAGGATTTTAAAACAATATTTTGAAGACATATTTGCCACCTGTCCGAACAGTGAGGAAAACAATTTACTGGACCTTATCCATAGACTATTTCCTAAAAATGTTGAGTTAACTATTGAAAGAAAAAACAACTCCAGCCGACCATTTCTTGATGCATTAACAATTAACTCCAGTAACTGCTATGAAACTAAAGTTTATCATAAACCTACTAACACTGATAAGTGTCTAAACTTTAAATCAAATCATCATTTAAATTATAAAAGTTCCGTGGTAGTAGCTTTAATGAGTGACTGAGCCGTGAGGCGTCAATTTGTAGGAAACAAAATAAAGAATAACAAACTAACCTTATGGAATAACAATATTTATCCATTATAATAACAATTATTATGAATTCGTTAATAGCATCATGAACCGTAGAATAAGCCAGTTTAAATTTTTTTCTCAAACAAAACCAATGATTAACCTTGCTTAATTCTACCGCGCCATAAAAATTAATGAAAACTTACACAGATTGCTTAACACTAAATATAATACTAATCTTACGTATAAAAACTCTACCAAACCGAACGGGCTCTATTAAATAATTTTGAGGATGGTAACTCTCCAATCTGGGTTAACAAATTATAATGTAATTGCGGAAAATATTACATGGGAGAAACGTAGAGCACTGTCATGTAGTGAATATGGACCCACCCTGTCAAGATATATGAAATGGAAGATATCGAACGAGCGTGAGCGAGAGGTGGCAACGAAGCACCCAGAAAGAAGACAATATCTCGCTTTAGCAAAGTCAAGGAACAATCCGAGAAGTCTTCCTGGATTATAGAACATGCGGTCAGGCAAAGTCAGTCCCCCCAGATGGTCTGAGTACAGCGGCATCACTAAAACGGAAGTTGGTACACAGGTGGATAAAGGAGGCATCAATCATCCAATCCTGCGAAACGTCAACAACGACAAAGGGTATAAATACTGTTCGGATTGGATGAGTCTCGTTCCCCTTATTTAACCAGCAGCCCCGACCGCAAGTTTGCCTTCTGGCTGCGAAACTATCAACTAACCTACCACACGCGCGAAACTTCACCATCAACCTGCCTTCCTTGAAGAAGGCCCCTATAGCACTGACCGACCGAAACGTAGGTATTGATTAGTCACCGGACCAATCACAGAATTTGCGTTGATAAACGCAAACGGCTTTACGCTGCTTTCTGTTAATGACGCATTGCGCTATGGGATTAGGTAAGAAAATAGTGTTGCGAATATTTCAGGATGGGTTTGAGAAATGCACTGTGAAATGACATGTGACATAATTTTACCACTGGGTCCCCCCCCCCCACCTCGCGCACCGTGCTCTCTGAGTCTCATGTTTCAGCGAAATCTTAAACGCGTGCTCAAAGAAAACTGTACCGGGAGGAAAAGGCCGGGATTTAATTGGTTTCATTGGATAAACACAAAATAGCCACTGCCACTGCAAAAACTTTGCTCTAGCTGTTACTGGTTGTTTTATTAAACTGTGACTCGTTTTTTTCAGTGTAAAGGCAACATCAGTAGACGATTCTCTCTGACTGTTTTTACATCTGGAGGGCTTACTGAGCCGGTTGAAATTTGCAAGGTATGTTTACATATACCTGTTAATGAAAAGCATACTAACGATTTATTCGTTTCAGCAGTTGTACGCGTCGCGTTGATCGGCAGGCTTCGTAAACAGTTGCTGAACAGAACGAATGCTAAACTATTTAGGCATTACAAATGATTTTCTTCTGTTCATTGGTGAACTTTTGATCCCACTGTTATGAGCTGTTTTTTGTGTTTTTACAATTTCGATTAAACGCACTTCCTCTGTATTGTTTCCTTATAGCGTTTTGACAAGTTTTGCACTTCCTAACAGCGTTTAATAAAGATATGATTCTCTAATCATAAAGTCGTACCGATCCCATCCTCAGCATAATTAAACTGAGGCTGAAGTTGCAAAAAAATTATGGCTATGAACTCAGTGTTGACACAGGGG